AATGACCACTGGTCTGGGTCTGGGTTCCTCCTTTTCACCTGATGGCTGACTGGAGTCCTGTTTGGGTTTCTTCTCTGCTCCCAGGAATGCCCAGTTAGGATATCCACATTGCTCTAGAGCCTGTCTTGTGTGAGATTTCTCCTTCTGCCTGGCTCCTGAGTTAGTGGGGACGCTGTCTGCTCTGTGGTACAGAGTCCTGATGACTCCTAACTTGTGCTCCAAAGGGTGATGGGAGTCAAACTGCAAATACTGGTCTGTGTGGGTGGGTTTGCGGTACATCTCAGTTTGCAAATGTCCTCTATCAGAGACTGAGACCTCACAGTCCAAGAAAGCCAACCTGAAATTTTTTACATCTCGTGTGTATTTGATGTATATATCCACAGAGTTGATGTGGTCAGTAAAATGTTGGGCTTCCTGAGATTTAATTTTAACCCAGGTGTCATCAACATACCTGAACCAATGACTCGGTGGTGTCCCTGAAAGGGATGCCAAGGCTCTCTTTTTACCTCCTCCATGTACAGGTTGGCAACAATAGGAGAAACTGGAGACCACATAGCACACCCATGTTTCTGACATAATATTGCTCCCCATATGTGAAGTAAGTTGACTGCAGCCACAGTTTCAAGAGTTGACACAGTAGCTCTGTGGAAAGAGTGGTCCTTTCACAGTGGGGTCTGATTTTAACCTTAAACTGACCACATCATCGATAGGAATGCACATGAAAAGTGATGTGACATCAAAAGAGACCATCAAACCAAACTGGTTGATCCTCTTTGAGAGTGTGTTGGTTATAAGCCTGAGTTTGCGTGCAGCACCTCAGACTAAAGAAGCATTTTGGACAAAAGACAAAATATTTAAATAAAGAAAAATCCGACCAGATGATCTGACTCAACCATGTTAGATTACTCTATATTCCCATCACACTCTGCTCCTTTGTTAGAATATTAAATGGTAAATGGACTATACTTATATAGCACCTTTCTATCTTATCAAGATACCCAAAGCTCTTTACACTAGAATCTGTGCCCTCATTTACTCATTCATAAAGCACTCTACTATATATATATACAAAGATTAATTAGCGTTTTATCACATTAATACACCGATGAGACACACATTTGAGTCAATGAGGGGTTCAGTGTCTTGCCCAGGGACACTTCAGCATGTGACAACTGGCGGAGTCGAACCCCCAACTCTTACATTGGAGGACAACTGCTCTAACTATTCAGCCACAGCTGCCCCATATTACCATTCCCATTTTTAACAAGCACAATCAGTTGCACATCTTTTCAAGCCTTATCTCTTTGTCTTGCTAACTGATAAAAGCCCTTCTCACCCTTTTTAGTATCCAACATCCTATAGAACTCATCAAACACCTTCTGCTTTGCATTTGCTCCTCTCATTTTGCTCTGTGTTGCATCCTTATATTCCTTTCTACTTTTGTCGGTCCTTTAATTGTCCCAATTTCTTCTTGGCTAACCTCTTATTCCAAATAACTTCCAGTTTCTTCCTTATAATATTTTCTCTATCCAGATGACCCAACGAGTGCCTTCCTACCTGTTTCTCTAATTACTGTTGTTCCAGTAGCCCAGTCAACTGGAAGCTCTTTCTAACCATCCAGAACATTTAACAGCTCCTCTCTGAACTGCTCACAACATTTTTCTTTCCTCAGCTTCCACCATTTAGTCTTCTTCTCTGATTTTACTCCTTCTCTCTTCTTCAAAACAACATTCATTCTACACACAACCATTCTGTGCTGTTTTGCCACACCCTACCCTGCCACAACCTTACAGTCCCCAATCTCCCTCAGGTTTCCTCTTCTACACAGAATGTAGTCGACTTGCGCACTCCTGCCTCCACTTATAGGTAACTCTATGTTCCTCCCTCTTTTGGAAATAAATGTTGACTACAGCTATTTTCATCCTCTTAGCAAATTTTTCCACCATCTGTCCTTCCTGGTTTCTTTACTTGACACCAAATCTGCCCACCACTTCCTTAACTCCTCTGTTTCCTTCACCAACACGCCCATTCAGGTTTGATCACCACCCACTCCTCCATGGGAATACTCTCTTTCACTTCATCTAGAGCCTTCCTAAATGTATACTTCTCCTCTACCTCACAACCAACTGCAGCATAACCACAGACAGCATTTAGCATCAGACCTTCTCATCATCAGACTTACCTTCAGACACATAACCCTATCTCACACTCTTTTCACCTCTACTACATTCTTTACTAATTCCTCCTAAGGGCCACCCCTACTCCATTTATCTTTTTTCCCCACACCATTAAACCTTGCTCCACTGGTGTCGAGCCTTGCTACCCTTCCATTTGGTTTCTTGCACACATATATCTCCCTTCCTTCTCTGTATCATGTTAGCCAGCTCTTTACCTTTGCCTGTCAATTGTCCCCACATTTAGAGTTGCCACCCTCAGTCCTACACTCTTGACTTTTCTACTCTTTCTCTGTCCCCTCAAATGTTTGCCTCCTGGTGGTTTTTGATGAACATTAGCACAATTTCCGGTGGCACCTTGTCTGTTAACAGCACTGGTGGCAGTCGTTGTTAACCCGGGCCTCAACAAATACGGTATGGTGACGTTTAGATGAACTTGCATGTTAGTTTTGGCAAAAGTGTTATGTCAGATGCTCATCTTGACACAATCCTCCCCGGACCTGGGCTTGGGACCAGGACAAGAAATACATTGGCTTGTGCTCCCTAGTGGCTGGTTTTGCCTAAGCTCCATCCATATTCTATACCCAATTCTCCTTTCTGGGTCATGGGGCAGCAGGTGGCTTTCTTCAGCGGTCACAGTCCAAGAGGTAGGGTACACCCTGTACAGGTCTCCAGTCCATCACAGAGATGCAAAGACAAACAAGACAGACCGCCATCCACATTCTGACTCACACCTAGGGACAATTTTGAGTTACTAATTAACCTGATGTGCATGTTTTTAGTCAGTAGGAGAAAATTAGGGTACCCATGTATGCAATGGGTGAACATGCAAACTCCATACAGAAAGGCCCCAGGCCAGAAGGCGATTCTGCAACTTACTCACAATGAGGTCACAACTCTAACCACTGCACCACCATGCCACCCTACCTGAGCTCCTAAAAAACCTATACTTACAGCCCAACATTTTTCAGTCAGGTCATCTGGATCGAAGGTGTAACGTTTCAGCACCAAAAAAAAAAAAAAAAAAGAAACTGTCCAGATGACCTGACTGAAAAATGTTGGATTGTCTACCTGGATTATTGAGCATGGACTTTGTTATACTTATAGTCCTACAAAACCTGTACCTGACCTCCTATCCTAAAAAGCCAACTTTGCTCCTAAGGTACTTGTACCTGGGGAAAAAAAAACTGAAATTCTATGGAACAATTATTAGTGCCTACAGAACCTGTACTTCTGTTCCTACAGATTTCTGGGCCTTTGTTAATACATAACCTTCTCCTGATCTACTACCTGTAGTGAACTTAACCTGATGTAGTGAACTTAACCTGAGGTCAAAACCCTTGACCTTAAGAACCTTGTGGGACAGAAACTGTCATTTCATTGATCTGCATCCAGAAATACAGTTTGACCCATCCTGAGACTTTCTTTCTTGAATTAATCAAGTGGAAAAGACAATTCTCTATGATCATTACTATTTTACAAATGTTTGATAATCAAATTGTGTTAGTTCAAACAATGTTTACAGGTTGAAGAGAACTACTCATTTTTATTTACATAAACAGTAAGTAATGATTTTTATTCCTCATTCAAAGAAGAAATCAGGTTAATATGCATTTCTTGATTTTCTGTCTTCAATGAGCAAGTTTGTAAGTGTGTGTCAAAGTTCGAGGTTCGGTCAACTAAAAAGTTTACTGAAAAGAAATGTCATGTTTAACTTTCACAGCAGATACTAGGTGAATTGACTCCACGAAGTCTGAAGTTCTCCAACAATCTTTCTGTCTGTTTTAAACAATCTTAATCTCTATCCTTGACTTTCCATAACACCTTACATCACAAACCACACCTCTGTTCTGGTCTATCCACCAATCAAAAAGCTCTCAAATGAACCGGGAGTCGAACCCATTTAAATGTGGCAACTTCCCAGTTCTCTGTGTGTGTCGAGATGAGACGAGACAAGATGAGAAGAGCTTGAAAGAGTGGGAGACAAAGAGTTCAGAGTTCTTGGATGCAAACGCAGGCATTCAAGCTGATCCAGAGACGATGTTGGGAATTATAACTTCTGTTTGGATAACCTCACACGACTCCTAAGGGTTCTTAGCTGTCCTCACGGAGACGCTGAAAAGAGTCAAAAGGAGAACTCTACACCGACGCTGATTCTATCATCTGCCAGGTAAAAGTTCTATTTCGACCAAGCGTACCGTTGGCCAAGCTGATTTTCCAAAGAGCGTGTTGTTCTGGTACTACAGATAAATTCCCTCACACATCTCTCTGTAAGATAAATCTCCATTTTCCATCTTTAAACTCTCCTTTCTGCTAGAAAATTAATCCAGATGTTTTCATTAATGTCTGTGGTGATGCAACGGAAAATCATGGCCGTATGGTTTTCCTGATTGTAAAACTGATTAATTGATGTCTGTCGTTTTAGCTGAAAAGTGAAAACAATCGCCGTATTGTTCTCACTTCCTGTAAAACTATGCTGTTATTTTCATATTTTGCCAAATTAATGTAAATGTTGATGTTAAACTTTGATTCTGTAAATAAATGACCGCATTCATTTTGATGGGTCAAAGATAAATAACGTCTCTCGTTACATTTCTGTTAAATTCAATGCACGACATTTACACAGTCCAGAAAAATGAAGAACCCGTTAAATGTATGAATATATCTCAGCATATGTCATACTATATACCAAACCTCTAGTTGAACTTTTACAGTACTCGTACCCAAAGTCCCATAAAACATGAAACAGAACTTGTACCCAAGCTCATAAAGCACCTGTGTTTAGAGTTCCTTACAGATCAGGTGATACACATAGTCATATCTTACCTGTGTGCCCCTCCTGGCAGTAACATTTCACTCTGAGTGATTGTGTATCGTGTTGACAGGAAGTAGCAAAATATCGTCCACTGCTCAGAACGTCTGGGCACAGGCAAGGCTGACAAGACTTTCTGGTGACGGGGCTGCCATAGTAGCCATTCTCACACCTACAGTAGCAACACAGGTGAATCATCACAACCAGATTATATGCATTTTGAAGCATCATTAACAGGAAGTTAATAGGCTGTTTCAAGTTACAAGCCCTTCCAAAACCTTTAGCACCACTAATTAACAGATAAAATAAAACACACAAAATAAAGGTGATCAATAAAAACTGTCTGAATGTTGTTTCTGTGTGCAACCTGTCACAATTTGGTCCTGTGGCGTGGTCCCTGCAGTTCTGACACTCTCCTGTCTCTCCATCGCACATCTCTGACAAGTTGTTACATTCACATGGTTGACACAGTGGGAAACCCCAGAACCCAGGCTGACAGCGATCACAGCGTTGGCCCATTGCATGTGGTTGACATGCACACTGACCACTTTGTTGATCACACATCTCTGACACTGAGCCTTGAGGATCACATTCACATCCTGCAACAACAAACACATTTTTACTGATAGTCTTTCTCCCTGACGTTGTTGAGAAGTTTCAAATCAGTGCATTGCTCTTACTTTTACAGCCTTCAGGTCCGAGTCCAAACGTCAGAGGTGCACAGGAATCACAGCACCGACCAATCACATTAGGTTTACATTCACAGAACCCACCCAGCTTACTGCAAGCTGGTCCAAGAGAACCAATGGCATTGCATCTGCAAGCTGACACCCAAAGAAACAGTAAATGTTGGTAAGTGTGAATCACTTTTTCTCTGTGATCTGAAATGGTGAATAACAGTGTTTTGGAATCTCTCAAGATTTATTTCACTTACATTTACAAATCAAAAACATGTAAATATTTGGACACTGACTCTAACTGCCAGTCATGTCTCTTTGTCATGTTTTTGCCACCACTGGCATCCATTTTGCTCTGTAGGAGGCAGTTCAGGCTTGTTGTTACAAATCAGTTCCAGGTGATTTGACTGCAAGTGGTCAGCTCTGTCTCTGCAGTTCAGACTAGGTGGTAAATTGTAAACCTCAAAAGCATTTTGCGATTGGATGTCAGTCAACAGTGCTGTGTGCAGGTACACATATTCATGTTACACAGAGGGCTGCCAGGTGTGACAGCGCAGATGTTAAGAGCCAGTTCGAAATCAGTTCAAGATTTGATCTTCTTTCTTAGTGTTTGCTAAGCATAAGCCCAAGTTAGCTCTCCTAATATCCAATGAAAATGCAGTGTAATGTCTGAAAGTTAAAAAAAAATAACAACAAACGTTTAATATGGAAGTCGATGAAAACTGTCCGGAGTGAGAGTTGTGCTGTGGAGTGAAAAGGAGAAAGTGTACTCATCCAACTCCAGTGAATCTTAAGATAAATAGACATACAGTAATTGTTTTGACTTTTCACTCGCTGATGCATTCTCATTTGACTTAGACCAAAAACATGCATGTTAGGCTGATGCCTTCGGGCCCAGGCCTCCCTTGCGAAAGAGATCAGTGATCTCAGTGGGATTTGTCTGGATAAATAAAAGTTAATAAATAATAAAAATACATCTTATCTCATTCTCTAAGTAAAAGTGATGTGTTGGGGTGTCTAAACATATAATTTTTTTATACTAGTGCACCTCACACAAATTAACTTGTAGTTTGTATTGTTTATTTTACTTAATTTAAAATATTTTAATAAAAAAGTAGTTTAATTTTATTCACTTAGTGCAATATGTCTAATACAGTACATGTTGGGAATAGACCTGACTGCTTACCAATGGCTCCATTGTGTATTTGTGCTGACAGATTCTTGATTAAGCCTTCACATATTTTTTGAGTTGATTTTTGAGAACCAGGACTGGCAGTCAATCCAATGCAGCGAAAAAGATGGAAAGAGTCTACTTTCTTCTGGGAGCAGAAGTCCTGAACTGACTCGGTGCTCTGGATCAGTCCCATCTAAGAAACAATATACAGGAATAATGACAATAAATGGGGTTAGTTTTGACCAAACATAGGTTAACACAAAACTTGTTTGACAAACTAAAAAGCAGTGGCAGCTGATCCATAGGGACAGGTGGAGCAGAGACCCACCTAAAATAAGATGTTGCTCAAGGTTAGCCCAGCCAAGCTCACACATGAGGTCTTAAACACATTCATGGCAGCGGTATCAGCTATTGTTATTACTCACCTGTTGGTTAATGTATCCACAGACCCAGACTTTCCCTTCATCCTAACACCAGCAACACTTCTCACACAAAGGATCAGCCCTTCCTTCTTCCCAAGGGATTTTTGATGATAAGGATCTATTTAGCAAGCAGTGGAGATAGGTGCCAACACTTTTTGGCATTGTTGGAGAACAGACAACCTTCCTGCCTTACAAAAATCTTGAAGATGGAACAAGGCAGAATGCAATCTTCAGGAGGGTGATGTGATTTTTAGAGACCATCAGACCAAGAGGAATGATTGGCCCATGGGCATCATAGTCAAGTCATTTCAATTTATTAGTCTGTTTTTCAAAAGACACAATCTCGACCCATGGGAGGGAGAAAAAAATGCAAAAACATTGTAGATGCACACACATAAAAACAACAACAATAAATTAAATATTAAGCATTACAGTATATGTCCTTTTCTGTCAACAGAAGATGCAATTTGTAAAAATGTTCAGGAAATAATGTCCGCCCTCTAATATTTTTGCTCAGGAGCTGCCACAGCTAAAAAGGTTCATTCAAACTTGTTTTTTTTCTTCTATATTTGATGTCTACCTAGTATCAGCACTCTTAATGATGGATTTATGCACACTTGCACACAATTTTTGCAAGGTTAAGATACTCAAAATTGATTGAATTAATTGTGATCAGCTCTGCTAGGACAGAAAAACCCAGAGTACATTAACTCAGAGTTTACGGAGAAACTCAGTTTGTTGAACCTCCCTTGAAGCTACCTGCTTGCTGGCAACATTTCAGGAATCTAGTGACATAATGAGAATACATTTAGTTTTAGATAATCAAAATGAAAATTCCCCACCGAGTCTATCAGGATGTGCAAACTGTCAGATCCTGGCTGTTTATGAAAAATAATCTTCACCAAATAATGACCTCCTGCATTCAGACAAATCCCAGAGTCCAGAATACTTAATCTGTAAAAAGAAAAAAAAAAGTGTTGATTAAATAAAGTTACTGAATCACAGATACGCACCTAATCATTACTTTCTGAAAGTTTCTTTACTATCTATCCAGTAGTTATTGCAATATTTTGCTAACATACAAACTGTGTGGACTCTAACACTTATTGCTAACGTTTTTAGCCAAGATTAGTGCAACGAATAACAATTGATATATGTGTTATGAAGGACTGTCAGCTAAAACCAGATCTAATTTTATGACTATATATGTAAAATTGTGTAAATAATAGACATTTTTGTGGTATCTATAAGAGCTCACCTGATACATTGGTAGAGACAATATTTAAGGCCGATATAGGCATTTGGGGTTCTATTAACAATTTCTTGTGGGATCAATAAAGTTCTAGCTTATCTTATCGTATCGTATCTTATCGTATCGTATCTTATCTTATCTTATCTTATCTTAGCATAGCTTATCTTATCGGTATCAGTGATAATTGTTCCATTATGCGCCGATATAAACACTTCAAATTTTCACCATTAAAATGCTGGAACCAGCTGTAATTGCACAACATATTCAGCAGAGGGCGCATGAAGACTACTTTCAAGTCATGGTCATTCATTTTAAGTTTCACTTTTGATGTTCAGCACAGATGAAGCAGGGAACAATACTATGTAGCATATTTTGTTGACCAGAGCATGGTAAGTTTATTTTAACTGATATGTAAAACAAATCAACACTAATAAATTCATATCCTGATGCATGCTCAATAATCCTGGTAGAAAAATCTAAAAAAGTTAAATCTGGTCCTCTGGACATTCAAAAAAAACAACAAAACAAAGCAAATCAACAAAAAATTGTAGAAACGTTTTGTCTCTCATCCGAGAGACTTCCTCAGTCTGAGGAGCTGTATTCAGCTCAGTCTCTTAAATAGCACCTTCTCAGAGTGGATCAACCAGTTTTGCTGCTGACAACCAAAACCAGCTGATCACATGCTCAAGAAGGACCATCAGCCTAACAATGGGTCATTAGCACACTGATGGCTGTTTACTACTCACCGAGGGCTGAGTGATACTAGCAATCACAGCATTGTAAGAGGGGGCCAGTTGAACCCGGAGGCCTCCACCCCTGTTTAATGATGGACGATTTCTTTTCACAAAGATGGCCTCCTTTACTCCTCTCTCAAACCATCGTTCCTCTCTGTCCAGGATGTGAACATCTTCATCCCTGAAAGAGTGACCGCTGGCCTGGAGATGAGTGTAGACCGCAGAGTCCTGGCCTGATGATGTTGATCTTCTGTGCTGGGCCATCCTTTTGGCCAGTGGCTGTTTTGTTTCCCCGATGTAAGACTGATCACAGCCCTCCTGACACTGAACAGCATACACAA